ATTTTAGCCAATAAGAACGTAAGGATGTTTAGGCATCGTGAGGTAGTAGTTTTGTTAATAGGTCTATTAGGGTAGCAGAGAATTGAATAGACAGCAAGGTGAAGAAATGTTAGTGATTCCAGGAGGAAAAGTTTTGAATAGAAATTCGTGAGTATCTTTTTAATTAATAACCAGATTTCGTCATCAGGAGCGTAACGTTGAATGTAAGTGTCTTTATCCTTTATTATACATATGCAGGGTCAATCCAAGTCAATGAAGAGTAAGAAAGTTATTGGCTAAAATAAAATACGTATGATCAGTTTTTAACTGGAGGTATTCGTGATATCTTTCGGAGCAAAAATAATCTCGGACCATAATGATTCTGATAAACAATCATACGTTAAACTGTTAAGATCATTGGTATCACTTAATAGTGGCCACATTGATCAATAATTTCGAAAGAGACTATGCCATCGTCATCAACAGAGGAAGAATGAAGGAGAAGAGAAGGAAGAGAAAAGGAAGAAAATTGAGAAGGCGAAGAAGATGAAAGAAAATTGTGTGCTATGCTATAATTGTTGAAAAGGTATTGATGACAATAAAAAAAGTGAAATGAATGAATGTCTGTTGACTACAGTTGAGGTGCAGTATGGCTAACTGGTAATGCGTGAATATAGCTCATTCGAATATTCTAGTTTTTAACTTCTAAATTTAGCGTTTGAATTTTTGATTTTTCAACTTTTAGATCATCACTTTGAAATATTAAATCAATTGTTATGAAGAATGCTAGATTATATTCATTTTATTTAGAACAACTACAGTAGTGGTGAAGAAGAAACATGACCGATGCAGGCGATGAATAAATGAGAATGGCGGATGGACGTATTGAATAAGCGAACATGACGGATATTAGATAGATATAGAATAATTGTGTGCGAAGTATATTTTTGTTTATATGAGATATGTTTTGTTAAATAAGAAGAAAGTGATAATGATGAAATAGATAAGATATTGTAATATTGTTTCACGACAACAATGTTGCAAAGATCGGTGCTGGTGACCTGTTTACGTTCTGTTCATCATTATTTAAGTCGAATCGAATTCTTTTTGGCGTGTGTTTGGTAGGTGTGATTTGTCTTAAGTCATTAATAACTGGAGAAGCAGAAGGAGACGAAAATGTATTTGACAGATGTTGTTGTCGTTGGTTCAGTTGGTCATGATTTTTTTCCTGGAGATCTTGTGATTGTTGACAGAGCTGTGGTGACTCGTCAGTTGAAACAGAAGAATTACAATCAGTTGTTACTCGTTGTGTATCTGTTGTTGTTTGGATGGTGGGTTTAGGATCTGATGGTTTTTGAAGTAGGAACCCACCACCCGCGATTTGAAAATCGACACGGCGAAAGGACATTGCCGTGTCCTCTTTAGATGCGACATTAGTCGATATATTGACTGTTTGCGAACTATCTATAAGTGGAGCAACATCACTGGCTCTACACACTTTATCAGTTTTATCCTCGAGATCTTCAAAAACCTCCTGGAAATCTTTATGAACGCACGAATCAATATATTCTTTTAGTTTTATAGAATACTGAGACAATTTGTTGGTAAACGTGTTTAACGTTTCAATATCCCAATTTTCATCAATAACTGTCTTGATGAAATAAGTGGTCGCTCTTTTAGCAGTCGGTTTCTTTTCTTTGACGAGTTTACCTGTGAAAAAATAATTGAAAATGTATATGAGAAAGAAAGAAAGAAAATCAACTTACCTATCTTTGCTGTGTCAAGTTTTCTTGCAGCATCATGGAGGTCATTTACTTTGAATCCTCCATGATTACGACTGATAACAACCCACGGCACCTTAATACCCGGCGTCAGAAGTATTATTCGTTCTGCACATCGAGATGCCACCGTCTCGACAAGTTTATTCTCGCGATTACTTTTTCTCGCTTCTATTTTTTCTTCTTTTTCAAGTTGAAGACTAGCTTCAATTTTTTCTTCTTTCTGGAACCGTTCCAACATCTCTTCCGCTGTTTCGTTCACTTTACCTAAATGAATATTGTATTGTCAAAATCAGGTGAATAAAATAAGTGACATACTATCTACTGTGCGAAGGAGCGTTCTAACAAATTTCAATTATCTCATGCATAACGAAAAGAGCAAAAAGAAAAGTGATAAAACTGTTTTTCTATTTTTGAATACCTTGAACTAGTTGCTAACATCTCTTGAAAATCATATCATTGATTTTTTATCAAATATGTAGCAGTACCACACCTTTGTTCTTTTCTTTCATACGTAATCATCCCCTCATCAAATGTGTTATGTTATCATCTATTTGTTGTTTTGTCTAAAGATAAGATCAACGATTTGAACTGTTTGTGTATTAGACTGAAGTGTCAACAACACTCTAGGATGTTATTTATATGCAGTTAGTTCTACAATCTAAGATATAATTTTTTCCTACTTTTTGTTTAAAAACGATCTGCTATGTTAGTATAGGAAAAGGTTTTATCGGATAAAAGTACTTACGATTTGCATATATTTTCTTTTGTTTTAGATAATAGTTCATCATCGAAACAGAGCCTAAAGTGGTCTTTTCAGATATGATTTGCCACTTGTATCTTTTTTTGAATTCGGCAACGGCGTCTCTTAGTAAACTTAATGTTTGTTTTGACTTATCAAAATAGTTAGGCACCTTGTTTATTGACGATAAACAATCAAAAACAGCTCCTGCTAATGACATAGCATGTAGAGCTCCAGCTATTCGAATGATTTGAACTCGAGCTTTCGAGTAGATAGACGCAATAAAACTATCATACTCGTAAGAAACTTTAATAATGTCAGTATATGAGTTCCAAGCCGTATTCAATACTTTTAAAGCTTCTGGTGAAAAAGAATACATCACTCTCGAGTCCTCATCGTTTCCTATTTCCTCATTATTAAAACAATGGATTATGAAAAGAGTATGTAATATACTCGGTTGATCAGGATCTGGTTGATCAATCTCAAAAGAGTGAAGAATTTTTGGTGTCGGTGCAGCGAAAAGAAAGCGTGACATAAGACCGTCAGCCTCACCATCGACTTTCATCGAATCAAAAATGTCAACAGGATGAGCTGCTGCTGTGATATTAAGTACAGGACTCTGAATAGTCATACTCGTGCCTTTTGTCTGTCGGCGAACGGTTGATGATGTATTATATAGGGAGCACATAATCGATCTGTCGTATGCTGCTCCTCCGCTCTTATACATACCGAATGATTGTAACAGAGTTAATGCTTCATCCCATAACTGAAATAGTCGTGAATGAGTATTCTTTAACTCTGACAAGAGCGACTCAACAGTGGCACTGTTATTTATTCTCGAGCGATCGTCATCGATACCTTCAAATTGCTCAATAATGAGAGAAGCTTCTTTTATTTTTTCTATTCCAGATGATTTGTTAGCGCCAGGATATCCAATTATAATCGTGTAAAATGCGACATTGGTCGTTTGACCAGTGTTACTAATAACTTGCGATCCGTTCATAGAATGACCAACTGCAGGAAGTAACAAGGTAAGTAAATATTCCACAGGTAGTTGAGAAGAGTTGCTAATATTTCTTATGACAGACGCAGTCGATTCATCCAAAATCTCATCAATATTCATTTCTTCGTTTCCTGCCTTACGCATGATAGCACGAAGCTGATAAGTAGTAGAACCTTTTGAAGACATGATTGAAAATTGTATTTGAAGAATTTATATACTTGTATCAGTGTAAAATGCAGACCGATGTGATGAATGTTACTGCTTGAAACAATATTAGATACTAATTGACGTAAGTATCAGTTCAATATCACAATTATAGATAAAATTTTGTGATCAGAAAATTTTCAATACGATTTGAATAATTATAATAAAGAGCAAGATTGATAAAATAATTGACCGAGTTTGCAGTAGAAAAACGGATTATGAATTCAAAAGTAAGTAATCAATTGAAGAACGAGTGAGCAGTCTATGAACGACTAATAAATTGAGAAACGAAATAAGTCGGAGAGCAGCTAATATATTGAGAAACAAGATAAATCGAATAACGATTAATAAACGGAGAAACGAAATAAATCGGAGAGCAACTAATAAATTGAAAAGACAAGTACGAAAGTTGGAAATGAGTAAACGCTTTGAAACGATCGATATGATAGCTTTAGAAAAAATGAAACATAAATGAGACATGGCTATTCTCTTTCTATCTTGTTAACACTTTCATTCTCTTTCTCCTTTCTTAGTATACAGATGAATGATTAGGAGATATTGTTTTTTTATCAGATAATTTTATGAAAGTGTTCATTGAGTAATAGCCTAAAGCAAGTCCCATAAAAGCAAGATGACAGGATATTATTATATTTAAGTGTTTGATCGAATATCACTGGCTATCATGTTTCCTTCATGCACATGATGTGAAACAACGGTTGAATAGTCAGATAGCTCATAAAAAGAATTCATAATGATTGATATTAATACTTATACCCGCTAGAAAAAAAAAGAAACTTCACTTTATTGTTGATCATCGTTTATTATCATATCATCCGATTACTTGTTCATCGTTGGCTATTGTATCTAAAATTATTTGCAGTAAAATATTCTTTGTTGGTATCAATTTGTGTTTATTATTAATTCATTAATCTGTACCCAGGCAAGTTATTTCATTTCAACATAGATCGTTAAACAGATCAGTACCCTAAGAATTTATATTGTAGTCTAAGTTTTATCTATTTGAAGAATAGCAGTTATATATATATATATATATATAATAAACGAAAAAGAATGAACTTCGCACTCCGTAATCCATTTGAGCTATTTCAACCGTTACCAAACATTGAAATATCCACTACATTGCGTCGATTAGATATTCGTATTGATAAAAATGTTCCAAATCGCGTTCAGCATATTACTGCAATTTTGAATAGTTTGTATCAGTCTACATATACTGTAACTCAAATCGATGTTCGTCTCGCTAATTGGAACATCATTTTACCCATGATAAAAGATGAAATTGCTGGAAAACTAGACCATGAAATTGATACGGCGGTCAAAAACTATTGTAAACAGAATAGTCAAAATCATGTTGTTTCATTGTTACATAGCTATATTCCGACAATTACAAACTGTCTCAACATAGCATGTAACAGAACATCACTAAATTCTCCATGCCCTTATCAAGATGTCAGTATTTTTCGATGGGGAAAAGAATCTGAAAAAGGCACCTTATTCTATAAGTTGTGTCCATCGTGTAAGGCTAAGTATCATTATAACTGCATCGTTCTGACAAATGGAACAAAATTTTTACATATAGAAGAGAATGCAGAAGTTGTTGTCCTTTTTTCCAATGTAGGTTATGAAAAAAACATACTTCATCAACTTGATGCTGATATTTTATTTAAGCATTCTGGCTTCTCAAACTTTGTTAATGCATATAACTTTATGTGTCAAAAAAATGGTTGTAGAGACACTAGACTTATGGATAGATTTCATATAGAAAAGACATGGTTTATCTGGAGTTTAGGTCACTTTTTCCGCGAAGTTAATATTTATATACGAGTACCGACGGGCACAGATTTTCAATCTGCGCTGTTGCAAATTCAACCAGATTTGAAAAAATTGTTTGCCCAGAAGTGGGCACGTAAAAACCATGAAACATATTGCGGACCTAATTGTTGTGCCACTGTAGTCCTAGATGGCCATCAAAAGGCAACACGTCGTGTTTGTAGAGTTAAGAACTTGACTGTTCCGTGCGAAGACGATTCTCTTCCATCTGTGAAAGTTGGCTGTTCAGCTACACCTGCTTTTAAGAGTAAAGTATGTGAAGCACACAAAAGTGACAACAATAATGATGACGAACATCCCGTTAGCCATGAACACCATAAGCGAAAGCGGCACAATTTAAGAGCCAATAAAAATTGCCGACCATTAGTGTTCTCGTTACGTTGTAAAACTCTTAAATCACTTCAATATAAAAGAATTCTTCATAGAACATCAGGAATTATAGCTGCTGCATATAATTGTGGATTTATTTGTAGTATTTCCGAACTTTTTGGTAGTGAATCCATTAAACAAGTATATAATTTTCTTGTTTATATGATGAAAAATTGCGAACATGTTCCTGACGTCTTAATCTATGATGATGCATGTCATCTGAAACGCTTTGTTCAAAATAAAAATAATTTTATTCAGGAAACTCCAGCTAATCAGAGAATATCTCAGTTACAAATCTTTTGCGATAAACTTCATTATCGTAACCATACGGATCCATGGTGTCGAAAGCATACAAATCCTCGCAAACATCCTATAGCTAACTCAACAAATACAGAGGTTTGTGAGCAGATTTTCAGTTGGTTAGCACAATATAAAAATATTGTCCGTGGTTTCGATGAATCCACATTCTTGACTTACATTTGTCTAATATGTGATTTATACAATACAAATAAGTTGGCAAATATTCGAAAAAAGCATGAAATAAAAATACTTCCTATGAGATTAGATTAAAGATCATTTAGTTAGCAAAGAAATATTCAATAAATGTTTGCATGCTTCCGCTAAGGTATAGCTTTTCAATTTTAATAAAAGTAGTATAAAAACGACAATTAACTCTAAGCTCATTTTAATGATTTTTCGTATTGAATTCAACTAGATTTAATAACTTTAATATTAAAATTAAAGTAACATTTCGACTTCAGTTGTCATTTCCTGTAGTTATTGTATTTATAGATATTCCGTAGAAGTTTTCCAATGTCTTGTTGTTGCTGTTCCTTTTGTTTTCATTCTAGGCATGATTCGTATACATCTTTACTTATTGGCAATGCTTGTGTTCCATGAACTGGATATTTTATCATCGTTTTTATGGTTCAATAGTCAGTAGTATTATTCTTCAAAATGTGCAACATATACATTTCGTTTATTATTACTCATTTGTAAACAACCTAAGTACACATATCATGAAATTCTTATCGATAAAATACATGTACAATATAAAATCAATTTAGATGTTGATAATTCTTCTTTTTTAATCTCTATCCTCCATAGTAGTTATAATAGGAAAATAAGCAGAATATGATAAATCATATGTGCAAAATAATTTTCAGTAAATCGGAACAATTAAAGATATTCTCTGACAATAAAGATCAATTGAAAGGACAAAATAGAAATCTGGCTATCACTAAAAAGACATACCTGATACGATTATATTTAAACTTCTATATCTGTATATCACGCACTAGAATAAAATTATCTGAACTGCTGATTTTAATTGTATAATTGGAAAACAATTTTTATATTTATAATTAGTTTTATTTTCGAAAACATAAGAAGACAATAAATTCTTATCTGTTAAAGAACTAAGTCTCTGATTCATAACCATTCACCCAATTTTATTTTTAGTTCGGAAATATCATTAAAATAAAAAAAATAATTCAGTTGTAGCATGACATTCATTTAAAAATTTCAATTTGGATTAATGGAATTGTTGCGAAATACAACATGTTCAAAACCAAATCAATAAGGTAGAAATTAATTTAAAATGACCAATATCTTGTCATATCTTCGATAAATAATACTTGCAAAATATGTTTCTGATCTCGTGAAAATTAAATTCCATATGTCAAAACAATGTACGTAAACCGCCGTGAAAAAACTGTCCGGTTATACTAGATTATGCCAAATTACAATCGAATTTTTCTGCAGAAAACCAAAATTATCATCGAAATAATCTGCCATTTTTCACTGAGATAGTTCCGTTTTTTCCTGGATATTTTGCTCGTTTTTGTTGGAAAGATGAAAAGGTATATTTATCTTAATTAAATGAGTTGAAGGATCACACGTAATGTGAATTTCTGTTACTTCTATGCGTGTATTTTTCATGTCAAATGTTCAATTGAAATTGATTTGTCTATTCCTTTCGATCTGTTAATCATGCATATCATGTAACATTGGAAAAATATCTCCTGTATGAAGTTAAGAGACAGAGACAGAGAGAGAGAGAGAGAGAGGGAAAGAGGGAGAAAAATGACGAGATATTGTCAACGAAAAATCCATAAAATACGTATAAATTACAATAGATCATTTCCTTTAAACGCATTATAACATTCGCAAATAATCATTCACAAAATTTTGTATCATAATATATAATGAAACCTACATCAATTTCAAAACCACGCTCAAGCAATCAAACCATGTCTCATAATAATCAAAAGAAACCGCGTAAACCAAAGAACAAACGACGACAACAGCAACGTTGGCGACGAAAACATAACAAGCCACTATTGTGTGAACAACCAACTTATCCAAGTTTTCCTAATCAGAACTGGTTCTCATGGAGAAATGAAAATATATGTCAACAAATATACAAACCAATAGTTGTAGTAGCTGGTAGTTCAATGGCGAGTCGTTTGAATGAGTACAGCTTACAAACATCAAAAAGCTTAGTAAAACTTACATATGAGAGCGGTTGTACTTGCTTTAAGATGTTGAGCTGGTTAAGAAGTATAGAAGGTCAGGAAATGATGTACGGAGCAAGTCGGATTATACTTATTTTAGGAACGAATGATCTTCATGTCATGCGCGCAGGAGAAACTGTTCATCGGATAAGAGAAACGGTTGAAGCAATTCGTCTTCTATATCCGAGGGTTCAGGTTGTGTGGCAGCTTTTACAATGGCGTATGAAAGCTACGCGTTATCTATCTGATGGAATTGAAGTTCTAAAAGAACTTGATAAATGTAACATCATGTTATTAGAGCTGTCGCGCAGATTAAATTTTCAAACTATTGATCCGCGTCTCACCAAAGATCATATAGGCAAGGATAATTTACATCCAACCTATGAAGGTTCACGTATAATAGAGCATTCTATTCGCTTATTCTTAGAGCGACAGTGAGAGTGAGATGCGGCATATATACGTGTCCAAAATGAAGTAGACACTTCTACTATTACTACACGCATAAACTTTTTCTTTATTAAACATAAATATTCACATGTTTTTCTGTATAAAATAGTCTTCTTCTTACTTTATCAACAAGCTTTTGTTAATATAGTTGAAATAAATTTAAAAAATTTAATTAAAATCTTTTTCATACGATAAATTTATTCTTATCTTGTTGATATTTTCTTCAAATTATATGTGTAACTCAATCCACAACAATAATTATTAATGTCTTGATAAAAGTATCGCACATGATCTTCAATTTTATACGTGAAATGAGTGATGTAACACGGTTACATATTAAATTAACAATCATATATATATATATATAAATTGAAATCTTTAGTACTGACGAGCGGAAACGAACGACTTGAAAGGATGAATAATACAATAGAAAAATTTATATGATTGGAAATATATTGATGAACTCAGCGGATTTTCATAAGTATAAAGAAGAGAGATTGATTTATTCGTACGTTTATCATTCAATGCGTCTGAAATAGTTGATTGTGATTCAATATTGACATCTTAAAATTATTCATATTTAATTGATCAGTACAATCATTCAAATATAAGCAACAAGATTGGAGATGTGAGATCGATTTAATCTTGATAAATATCTCTTTGTATTCTGAAAAATATAAAACTTACATTCCTTTAAACTAATGTCTCACGTACACAAACAAGTGTTCGTCAATATCCCGCTGCTTAGTACCTTGAATATAAAAAGAAGATAATGATCGATCGTTCATAATCAGCTTTTAATCTAACACAATTCCTTCTCACTTTAATCTAATAAATATGTGACAGATTGTCACGGTTGCTGATGCATGACGCTGCGAATATTTTCTTTTTTCTTGTATTAAGATGTTATCAGAAATATGAAACTGACAAATTTTTCATCTTCTTTCTCCTTTATGTTTCTTCTCGGACTACTTTCTCTTACTTGTAGTGTAAGCTTCGTATCATAGCAGCTATCTGCTTCATTCAATATTATTGATCATCTCGCGTAGTTGCATTTTTACATTTTACGGACGCTTACATTTCAATTATTACCAAGACAGCTAAGTTTCGAAGGTGAATACAAATTCTATTTCTTCTGTAATTTCTTCTGTATAATTTCTTTGTTTCTTCGTCACACACTAACGTAAAAATACTTCCTAATTTGTGTATTTTGACTGTTTTTATATCTTTTTGTTTTGATCCTTGTATCTAGATAGTAAGTGTGTATTTGCTTGTCTATAACTTCTTGTTGGATCTATCTAGATCAGAAATTGAAGACACATGTTTGGTAAAGGAATATACATCTTTGCATTAAGTTTCTTTTGTACAGTAGTGGTTGTGAATGCTCAAAGCGCATTCTTAGATCATGTAAAAAATAATACTATAGTGCATCATATTGAGACAAACACTGTTTGGCAGTATTTAGGTAGTTATTCACAGATTGATGGATCCATCAATTATATTACTGAAATACCTGTTTTTCAGTTTCTGTGTGACGTTCTTCCAGTTCGAATGGCTTATACCTTACAAGCGTGTATAGAATATAGAGATCTTCTTTTGAAAAACAGCGATGTAGCACGATTGAAGGAAGTTGCAGAAGATCATTCTAAAAGCCGAGCAAAGCGACAAATACTAGAAGGAATTGCAGCTACTGGAGCTGCCTATACGGTGTATCGTATCGTCGGGGATTTGCTGGGTCCCAGTAACTTACAGCTAGCGCATAGATTAGAAGATGTAGAGAATTTTCAGGTACATCAAAATGCTTTGAATGAGATAATGAATACCGCTATTGCGTCACTTCAGAATAATCAATTAGCTATTTTAAAAGCCTTTAAAGATGTCTATGATGACGCAAATGCTACTCGTCAGTATTTATATCAACATATTCGACAAGTGATTGCTTTTAGAAATGAGTACGATTCTTTCGCAAAGCATGCGATACTTCAAGAAATGCGTAATCATTACGATAAAATCGTACATTCGATAACTAAAATCGAGGAACAAAAATTGAACCTTGACTTTTTGACTACGGAACAGCGTACCATTACATATAATTTTGTGTACGAAGCTGTAAAAACACTTTTACCGGAGGATTTTGGAGCATCTCTAAGTGCTTTCATACCAAAACTTCTTGTCCATCAAATATTATCATTTACTTCTGTCAATGAGAAAAACATTTCGTATGAATTGACCGAAAATGATTTTCAATTTGACATTAGTGTTGATCCAAAGTTTGAAAAATTAAATCAAACAGTAGACCTTGACGAAATCATTCCGAAGATCGTTGGCCATTTAAGAGTTGAAAATATTTTTGGACGTCCGATAAATATCAGCCAGAAAAAGACTGATCTTTATAAAGTAACAAAGTTACCTTTCTTTGTTACATCGACGAGAGCGGCACAAAGCTCTCATATGCCAACGTACTTTACGCTGAGTCCGGATGGATATTCTTCGGAATGGGAGAACCACGATCATCGACGTTGTACGTTTGATGAACGGTCTAAATTTCTTTTCTGTGCCGTTCCAACTCCAATATATAGCCAAATTCAGAATCCTTGTATTCGAAGTATTGTATATAATACAAATACTTCAGAATGTACGAAGGATGAAATAGATTTATTTTCACCGCAGAGTATCCGTTTAGCACCAGATATATTTGCTATTTCGACTGATTCAAAATTGCAATGTTTAGAAAAGACTGATAAGAAAGAAAACCGCTGGACAAATATTAATAAAGTTAGTATTATCAGGACAAAATGTAACTCGTACATATCGTGTGGCAAATTCGATCTTCGATCGGATGTCTGTAGAGATGAAAATGTTTACATTCTGTCGATGAAAAAATCTATTGCTCCGTATCGTTTCGGAGAATCAGTAAACGAAGCACAGTCAGATATTTTGACTTTAAGACCTTCACTTAATATAAGTGCTCTATTGAATGAAATTGATATGGAAGAACGGCTTCGAGAAGAAGGATTTAATCAATTTCGACAAAATGTATCGGAAGTGATTCAGTCGAAATGGTCATTGACGTTTTTTCTGGTTATTTTTGCTGTTGCCACTCTACTGATCGTTGTACTTTGCATTTTTTGTAAATGTTACTTCAAACGTTCTCTACTGAAATTATTCTGGTGCTATGAGAAATCAGCTAAGCCAATAGCTTCTAGTAGCGATGCTAAGTTACACACTGTTTTATCTCAGCCCATATCTAATGTTGGTGATGCTGTAGTACAGGTACCACCACCTATCATTCCTCGAAATCGACCAGATTCATTTTTTGAGAAACTCAGTATTCCTTCACGCTGTGTTAATTATATTTTGTCACCTGATTGTGATCGAAATGAGAATATGAAATCGAAATTTCATAATCAGCGCTCTGCTATTGTGGCGTATGATGCTCCTGCTGTTCGAAATCAGCTGAATTATACACAGAATATCTCACGTAATTTTCGTACGAGTGATCGTAGCTGTCGGCCAAACGCTTCTGTAAATCAAGATGTCTCTTTTCAAGAAGGAATTATAACGGCTACAAATCAGTCGGATGTAACATCTGGATCTTTTTTTGAGGAAGATAAAAGTACATTCAGTGGTTATAAGTTGAAAAAATAGAACAACTCGATTTATGGGCAAGCAAAATTTTTGCGTTTTCTCTGAATTAATCATTTTTTGTGTATAGCGATATAATGTAGTGGTATAATTCTTGTTTAACATACCTAGATAATTTTTTGTGTATATATATCATTACTAATCTGTAGAATTTGCTTTTCACTTTGTTCTTTTTCCGTTGTCAATGGTTATCAAATACATTAATCACAAATTTTACTCATTGTGCAACTTCTCATCTATATGTATATACAATTTCTAATTACTCTTAGCATCCGCAATTTCGTCATAACAAACCTGGTTAATTATACAACCAATATGTCATAAAAATCTTATTATTCACATTAATGAATTCAAATCTTATATGGAATGATTCAATTAATTAAACAGAACTAAACCCTTTGCCTAGAAAGTGTACTCTCATCTTCATCATGAAATTGAATCTTTCAATAAAACTTTCTTCTCCTACACTTATTGCTTACAGTTCAATAACATAAATATTTCTTCTTAAAATAAAAAAATTAATTCAAGCTCGATGTAAATGCATAAATCAAACTTGAAATGGCGTTTATACTACAGAAACACATTTTGTTGATTATTTTAGAGAAAGAGAGATGGAAACATAAACAAAGACGAACGGAGGATTATATATTTTAAAAAAAGACGGCACATGAACATCTATACATGTACATAATCTTGTCAGTTGTCAAAATATGCAGAACGAAAGAGAAAAACATGAGTATATGCACTTTTGACAGTTATGAAAAAATAAAATAGATATTTTTAAAACAGATCGAATTTTAATAAACCAAGTTTATCTCTCAGTATCGTAATAGTCCAAGATAATAAAAAGGCTGAAAATCAATTATAAAGATTATTATATTAAACCTTTTGTTTTATTGTCATCTGATGCCACTCAATTGTATTCAGATTAAATTCGTGTCTTATGTTCAATGTACGTACGATAAAGAATAAACTTCTCATCATTATGTCTATGTGACTATTTGAAAACAATTGTTTTTATGCATTGATAAATTGAAAGTTTTTAATATTGATTCCAGAATGTAGGTTTATATAGGTCTAGTAAAAATAGATTGGTAATTAGACATCATAACATATGGAGAACATGACGTCATGTGGAATGAACGAACATATGTATGATGTTATGAACATATGATATGAGAGAACGGCCAAATATATGTAACGCCATGAAAAGAACGCGCAAGAGATATTGTATGATGTCAGCTAATTGACTCTCGCTTAACAATATCTTCTTGTGCTTTCTCATCTATTTTAAATAACTGTTTGATTTATGAAAGTGACTCTCTGATTATATATTTCCATAGTTGCTTTCGTGATCTATCTATAACATGTGTTGCTCTGGATGGGACGACATAACGTTGTATCAACAAAAATAATATGTTCAGATAGCTTGTTCATATATTTGTAGATCTTTTATAACTAATTACACTCTACCCCGTCGGTAAATTTATTTTCGTGAAATGCAACCAAATAGTCTGGTATATTTGGTATTTTATTTTGTTCTATTTAAGAATAAGGAGCTATTTTTATTCGACAGTAATATGTGCAAAAACTTGTGTGTACAAAAATATTTGTATATAGAACAACACTAGTATGATGAAGAAAAATTATTTTTTTAGTTGAGGAGAATGAACGTCATAGATAAGACAAACAATATCCAATTGGTATTAATAGGATTAGATTGTCCTTTCTCAACATATAATTTGCGGTCGTCCACATGAGAGATCATGTGTGTTTTATTTAAATATGACGCGATAGCGTCATCAATAATTCTCGAATTCAACGTAGACGTCGCTGCAGTTCGATTAGCCCAATAACGTATACGTAACTTGCCCTGTGAACGAGTGGTCCGTCCCGTCGGAAATATTACAGAAGATGATGTAACTTCTAAACAAAAAAATCAGTGAGATGATAGTCAAAGACTTTTATCAATATACCTGTTATATTATGATATTCAATCATATATTCATTTGTCATTAAGACAAAACAGAATAAAGTAATGAAAGAAACCTGATAAAATAAAGCCATGATTTCAGAGAAGGAAGAAATTGTTGTAATGAATTGAATAAAAACTGAATTTTCACAGAGAAATGTTGTAAAAAAATGTCCTTTTATACGAAAGACGTCATGAGAAGAGCCAATCAAAATTCTTTTGAATTTATTCATATCTTCTTAAGGCGCTGTGAAAAACAATTATTGTATCATATGTAATCAACTAATAGAAGTTGCATCATACATGCATTTTCGCTTTAACATGTCATTTTTCCCACCGACGAGAGTAAATAACACCATGTCGGCACGATCATTGACATGACTTCTCTCACAACGAAAACACGTCACAAATCTTTCATACTTTTATCAACAGTAAAAAACAAAACCAGTAAAAAGATCTCGTTGTAGAATTGCTGAATCATTCATTACAACAATGATACCAGAGATTTTCCTATAGCAGAACAACAGACAGTTGCTTAATCATTTATACTCTACTAAATTGAAATTCGTACATTTGTTTCATTTTCACAGTATTACAAACATGATTCTTTGTTCAACATACGCCCACCAAAACATAAACAGTTTTCACACTGTTTCACTTCATTCAGAGTATTAAAGCGTGTATTAAACACTCATCTTTGTTGATTACACGTTCGCTCGTAACATTATTGTTTTCCACATTTTATAGCCATCCAGCATTTTACTTAAAAAAGAAATCTTTTATCTTATACATACTTGTCTATTACTCATTCAGTTTATCGTAAATGTGTTACCATTAATAGTTTCTTTCCGACTTACACAGACGTACCGCATTAAAAATATAATATTAACCATATTCGTCTATGTGCAAAACAGTCAAATCGTATTCTTTACAGAATTTAGCATCATACCGATTCATCTCCAGTTATAATGACATCACATACGATCGATTCAACAAATATTTCCNGTAAATCATGCCGTTTATCAACTAAAAGAGAGATAAATCGATTTGAGTTTGAATTCCTTTTTATCGTACCGTGATTTAAAGTATCGAAGTTGTTGCGATACATTCCCATAACAAAAAATAGATGAAAAGTCTAATTAAAAACAAGAACTAAAGTATTCTGGACACCGATATCCTTAGGGAAAATTTGAAGATCGCAGAATATAAACTTGTGGCAGATGGCGCCTCTCAAATACCGCTGCTAATCTACATTTCACCGCGTATTTTCGAAACCGCGGTCTTGAACGGTGATCACGTCGCGGTTTGTTTTCAACATACCGCGATATATTTATGTTGCACTGCACCACACCGCTGTTGACCGCGGTTTCTTTTCGACACAGCGACCTTCAACGGTATAACCGCAGCCATTATGAAAAAACCGCGGCGATCAGCGGTATCTGTTTCAAAGTTTTCTCGTGGGTGTACTAAGATACGTATAATAAATGTTATTTAAAAGTGCAAGGTTTTTTCCAAGTTGACAACGCATAACTATAACAAATATTTGTTTAAATCCTCCGCTCTCTTACAGTATATACTTGTTATAACAGTCGCATAGAGAAGACAAACGATTTATTTCGTTTTCAAAAGATCAAAATGGGTTTTATTTTTCCTTCTCAAACATTTGAAAGATGACAGAAGATTATATTATACAGAAGAGAGCTTTGATTGTAGCTGTCTTCTTAATGGCTATAAGATTTATTTTGAAACGGTAATGGATTATATTTACGTTTCTATACAGAATGAATAAATATTATATTCGTTTTTCTGCGCCTATCGCTTTCGCTGATACTGTTTGAAGAATATTCAACAAATCGTTCCGAGTAGGCATGCATCAAGTTCGAACGCTCGGGTTTGGGTCCGATTTTGAGAATTTGAGTTCAGTTCGGATTCGAGTTCGGGATTGAGTTCGTGTTCAGCCCCATCATTATATTTCGGGGTAGCGAATGGCTCATGAACGCAAATAATTCATTCACCCATCGTTGTGAATGTAGCGACAATCCTAAATCACGTAGAAAATTGTTATATCTTATATTCCAAATTCTATTGTCAATTCAATTGCAAGCGACATGTATATTTTCAAGCAAAACCATTCGAATTGAATCGGTTATTCGCATCCGAATTCATTACAAAATCTTTGAAATCCCTTTAAAAAAATGCTATAACTACCATAATTCGTTTTAATTAAAAACTGAAACCATAGAATTTGTATATCAGATAAATTTGCCTTTGGTTTTATTATTTTTTGAATTTATCTGGCTGAATTATTGATTTGTTATTTTCGTTTGTATTTATGAACGTTATAATACATTACTCATCTTTATTAGGTCATTTTTTCTTCAAAATATTTATTGGACTATGAATTCCATATACGAAATTTACTATAGGAATTATTCTGCCTTTATTATTTAGTGCATGTACTACATTGTTGGAGCAATTTCTCTATATATCAATATAAGTAGGCGTTCGGTTGCATTAATCAATTAAACCTTATCTCAGTATTAAATAAATGCCGAAACTCTGGATTCTATCCGAAAGTTATGTGTACTCTGAAAAGTGTATGATAATTAAGCTACAGATCACTCTAATTGCCATATCAAGCTTTTACAATGAATAATAAAAAACAAGTTCGGGCAGCCGACTATTGTGAGTCCAAATGAGATATTGATATAACGCTACTCTTCCAAAACTTTCACGACTACTAGGGAGATTTCATAGAGAACTCAAGAATGTCATCATAGTTTAAAACAGGAGAACCCAAGTCATATCCACTTTATAGCATAAAAGAAGCCATGGCTACGGTCATAGTATAGCATAGAAAGATCACAGGACACCATCGCTATATAGGACTCGAGCACCCATAAATCCCTGCTCAGTATAGGACTTGAGCACCCATGAATACCTCCTCAGTATAGGACTTGAGCACCCAAGAGTAGTCCCGCTATACAGGATATGAGGACCTAGGGATATGTTTATGGGATAGCATTTATGGACGTGATTGTTCTCATGAAACTGACTATAGCAATACAGGTGACAGAAAAAACTTTTTTCTGAGAATACCGGTACTCCTCTGCAGAAGTCGGAGGGTCTTTTTTTTAGAATTTTTACAGTATCTCAGCCATTTCTTGGCCGATCCTTCCCGTCTTCGAACTCGACTAAGATATCCATGAGACAAAACTGCGGAAGTAAAATTCCGGTCAATCGCTCAGACTTTCTGATAGTTATCGGATAAACGGACGGCCGGACACACTGACCGATTTTAGCAGTGTACTCACTTTTTGAACACACAATAGATTTTAAAACTGAGGAAAACGACTTTCCATTTATGAGTATTGAAGTATTGACGAAGAATCGATTTTCGTGCGTTTTATTATTGACTTTCTAAAACATCAGATTTCAGAGCTTTTTGTTTTGATCGCTGATATAATTAATTATTGAATGTCATAAGAAAAAGTATCATTAAAAGATATTAAGTTATAATCTTGACGATGAGATTAAGTTAAAGCAGACATAATTCACCCTCACCCATCACTCTCTTGACCTATCAAAACAAAGATATGTGTGACAATATAGATATTGTTTTTATAAATTCTACATGTTGGAAAAAACCGAGCAACGTATTTTGAAAGAATGTTTTGTTATATTGAATGAGTAAGAAATGTATTCTTCATATATCGTTATTATCACAAACATTTCCGACTCATTTTCTTTACTTACTGATAAACAATCCGCGAGTATAAGCGAAGAATAAAGCAACATATATTCTTAATCCATACATGTATAACTCGAACACAAAGTTCGAGTATTAAACTTTCAACTTCGAGTTTTCAACTTTTAAACCTATAAATCTAAAACCCGAAGCTTCGAGTTTTCAACTCTTCAACTTTTAAACTTATAGATCTAAAACTCGAAGCTTCGAGTTTTCAACTATTCGAGTTTTCAACTTTGAACTAATTGGCTATTAAATATCCACTAACTAAACGATAATTATTAAACAACTAACTGATTATCAATTATTAGCTAACTGATTATTAATCATTAGCTAACTGAGTACGACGGTGGATGTCGGTGTGGGTGTAGTGGAGGGTGTGGGTGTGGGTGAGCGTTGGGTAGCAGTGTAAAACTTGAATACTCGAAAACTCGAAGCTTTTAGTTTTAGATCCATAAGTTTAAAAGTTGAATAGTTGAAAACTCGAAGCTTCGAGTTTTAGACCTATAAGTTTAAAAGTTGAATAGTTGAAAACTCGAAGCTTCTAGTTTTAGATTTATAAGTTGAAAACTCGAAGCTTCGAGTTTTAGATCTATAAGTTCAAAAGTTGAATAGTTGAAAACTCGAAGCTTCGAGTTTTAGATCCATAAGTTTAAAAGTTGAATAGTTGAAAACTCGAAGCTTCTAGTTTTAGATTTATAAGTTGAAAACTCGAATAGTTGAAAACTCGAAGCTTCGAGTTTTAGACCTATAAGTTTAGAAGTTGAATAGTTGAAAACTCGAAGCTTCGAGTTTTATATTTATAAGTTTTAGAATTCGAAGGAAGTTTTAATACTCGAATCGAGTTAACGATTTCTACACTACTCTAATGAGCATTAGGTCCATTTCGACTGTTGTGCACTTTCATATTGGGTACAATAGGCTTAAGTTAGAATTTCCCAATTTCCCGGAAAACGCTATAACACATCAAATCAATTTCTCTTTATTTCGGCGGTTTATTCATCAATTATTAGCGAGATAAACGCGAGAATAATGGATAGCAAGGCTGCGAAAAAAAATGTGATTATTTCGTCGCAATTACGGCGCAACTGTGAAAGTTTTATCGCAATTGCGTCGCAGTTTCGTCATAATTGCAAACATGGGCTTTTTCCCACACTTGAGCTTGAAGTGAGTCGGCTCGGCAAGTATCACTTTAAGTGATTGGAAATTTTTCTTTCTACCCTCTTTCGAAATAATGTTCTGTTACTATATAAACAATTGTAGCTTTCATTTCTATATGAGAATTATAACACGAAATATACATATTGTGTTGTAGTCTCAATTGTTTATTTAAATGACTCAACGAAATTGTGACGACAACGAAAACAATCCGAATGATTCTGAAAGCAAATTTATTGTTGGAATTTGTAAAATTTTTGGTTTTGAAGAAGATGATAATCAATCAATTCTCATTGGAAAACGTTTACTTACAAATGGACGCCAATGTTTAAATGAATATCGTAGTCATATAGCACGAAAAGACTTTGAGATCCAAATGAAGAATGATGAAACTTCCGAACTTCTCAAGCTTTTAGAACAATATTATCATCAACAATGGCAAAAGATTCCATTTGAATGGTTCAACGATTTTATAAGTTCACATCAATCAAATGATGATATTGAACAATATCAACGTATTTTATCACGTTTAGCTAATTATGGAGTCCAATTTTTGAAAACATGTCCAGTGTTTTCAATAGTTTTACAAATTGTTTTTGAATTTGATGATGAACTTACTTCTGAAGTTAATTTATTCAATGATATTTGGAATTTATTTATTATACATGGATATAATAAAGCATTAAATCAATCAGATAAATATCTTGTACCAACAATTAAAAAACAATACATGAATGCTTACGATAGCGTTTTATTTCTTGCATTACGTGAATGTTTTCGTCAACCATTAGTAACATTATTTGAAGATTGTAAAATAAATCAAACACGTCGAAATCTTCTTGAAATAACACTTAATTCTTTAGCTAAATATGGATGGGATGGCGGTCTTGAAGATAACAATGTTATTGAATTAATTTCAGAAGTTCAATATAAAAAGTTATTATCTAAACGTAATGAATATCTAAATACGGAAAAACAGTTATCATCGTCGAATTTCAATGATTCTTCACTTCAAAATTCCAATCAATCTACAGATAACATTGATTACAATCTTAGACGATTTTCATCACAATTAACTTTAAATAATTCATCAGTGTCGCAAAACACTTCGACAAGTTAGTACAAAATAACTCAAAAACGGATAACTACAGTATTTATACAAGTCTAATTATAAGTGAATGAATGTATAATCAAATGCAATCTTTTCATATCATTTAATTTTTCGTTTGAATTTCGATGTTTCGGTACTACTGTGAGTCCATTTTCAACAATATGATGTTGCATTTTCTTCTTTTTTTATTGCGCCTCTTTCACCACCACCAGATTTAATTTCACAATTTTGAAGATTAATTTACATTAACATTCATCTTTCGATAGAGTGCAGTAGATAATTTGATACACCCTTGCGGCGGTGAAAGCGACGTGATGAAAAAAAAGAGAATCCAACATCATGTTCTTAAAAATAGACTCGTAGTAGCACCGAAACTTCGAAATTTAATTAAAAAATCAAATACTATCAAAAGAAGCCTATGCGAAACTAACACGAAAAACCGAGATTTAGCTTTAAATCATTCTAAAAATGAATTTCTGTGCGTAAAAAAATAGTTCATTCTGTTCAGAATTTAAATCCGCATCGAATGTAATACTTATATTCATTGTGAAACAATTGGGAAAATTTTACCTAGATCATTGTTTTTCTTCTGCATGGAAAATCCAGATGAAATCTTCGCAACTGTTTTCTCATGAATAGAAGTATCACATTCGGTTTAGAATTCAATTCTAAATAGAATGGACTAGCTTTCATGAGCGGGAATTCATTAATACAAAAAGTTTTAGTTAAATTTTAGTTTGTCGTGTTAGCTTTCATGGTACTAACCGAACATCGATATAAAAGATTGAATTTGATTCAGAGATGTTCATCGCGGCACTACCGCTGCCGTCACGACAGTATTATTCCCGGTCCAATACAGATGTATCAATCAAGTTTAAAAGCTTTTTTATGAAAACTACCGCGGCAGCTGCGTGTTGACGTTTTTTTAATAAGGCATCGCGCGTAGTAGAGGTTAATCCTGAATCGCGATGAACATCTCTGATTTCAGTTTACATTCTGCCACTTTTAATTAGACTTGTATCAACTTGTCTACTGCACTCTATCGAAAGATGAATGTCAATGTAAATTAAACTTCAAAATTGTGAAATATAATTTTAATCTTTTCTTGAATAGATGAACAAATAGATACATATTCATCACCATCGATTAAACCGGAAGATTCATTGATCAAAATATATATTCCAAATTTACCAATAATCGATTCAGATATCAATCTAGAAGAAACTATATCTACACGATTAGATGATTTATATAAAATTAAAGTATCAAGAATTGAATGTTTCACAGATATTGGTGTTGGTATTATTTATATACATGAAAAGGATAAATCTTATTTAGTTGATAAACTTCAATCAATTGTAATACATCCAGAATATAAATTGGAAATAAATTTTGCTGAAGATTTAGAGATTATATGTTATTTAATATTCGATAAACCAATGCAATTAACAAATAAAACTATTGTTCAACGGTGGATGAATGTCTTTGGATCAGAAAGTTCGCCTAAATGTGAAATTTTATCAATACAATTTTCAAATATTATTAAAATAACAATGTTTTCCATTCAAGAAGTTCAATCAGCATTAGAACATCGAATTATTTCTATTAATGATGAAATTGGTCGGATAGTTCTTCAAGCTGATTGTTGTTATTTAGAAGATATTCCTCGTTCAAATCCCAAAATAACATCTGAACAATTATTTTGTTATATTATAACACAACTTAAAATGAATGATCGTTTACGAACTGATCGGAATTATTGTCAAGAAAAAGCTGATGAACTCTATCGACAATATTCATCATTATCATCTGAAATAAAAACATTTAAATCACTCTTTTATATTCAATATAATGAAGAAACATCAAATGCTGTTATTATTACATCAGTAACAATATATCAATGGTTATTAATGAAATTTGTTAATATTCAAAATGAATCAGTATTTAAAACAACAAATATTTCTTGTAAATTAATTGTTAAACCAATACCAAATGATCTTTCATCATCAACGATTCTTAATCATAAAATATTTCAAAATTCAATTAAACAGAATGATTATAAACGTGTTCATGAAAATCTTGTTATTGAAATAACTGATCCTCATGTTTATGATAAATGTTTAAATATTCGTTTTATTGAGATAACTCATAATGAAAATCAATTAAGATTACAAATTCTTCCATATACATATAATGCAGTCATTAATCCTGAAGATATTGATATTAATGAAGAGAATTGGTATAGTACTCGAATGTTTGATTATAAACCTGATATAACACAATTTGATCCATGTCATCCAATATTTCGTTATAAATGGAATTCAAAAATTTGGTTAGAACAATTTAAACAAATTCCTAGTGATACAAATGAACGGCGTAAAACAGATATAATTCGTCGGATGCTTCGTATTACAGTTATGTTAAAAACTATGGGAGCTATACGAGCAAAAAAATATGAACTCGAAGATAAAACAAAGAAAACGGGAATTGAAATTGAATCACTAAAACCACTTATTACAATTGTTTATAATCATCAATCGAAATTAATTAAATCATCAGAAACAAATAGTCGATTACCATTATTTGAATCAACTAATATTCGAGTAATAAATGAAGATTGTCTTATTTCATACGAAAAACAAGTAGTCAATGGTTATAAGCCACTTCTTCTGAATATGGCTAATGCTTCGACACCCGGTGGAGGTTATCGAAAAGGTGATGGTGCTCAAGAAGAAAATCTCTTTCGTCGTTCAAATTATTATCTTAGTCTTGATCCAACTCTTTCTTATCAAGAAAATCAATTAAATAGTTGTCAATGGTTTCATTGTTCAGAAACAACCAAATTAAAACCATTAAGTATTAAACAACAATCTTTATATCCAATAGATGAATATGGTGGTATTTATACATCAGGTATTACTGTTCTACGAGGAACAGAAGATACTGGTTATCCATTTCTGTCGAAACCCCTTTATAATGTTTGTTCATTAGCAATTGCTGCCTTTCGAAAACCACCTGTTCATGATAATAATCGTCTCTCGTTAAAATATGCTATTGATACGCGAAAGAAAATTGAAAACTTTTTTGCCATTGCACATCAACATGGTCACGATTGTCTGATACTTTCTGCTTTTGGATGTGGTGCATTTCAAAATCCGTAAGTATTTTTCATTACAAATATTTTCTTTAACGAAATTTTAATTAAATATTAACATTGATAATACAGTAGAGAATCAGTAGCAGTTTAGTGTGCCACTTGTTTTTATCTAATTCTTTGAATTTTTAGACCTGAACATATTGCTTTGATATTCAAATCAGTTATTATTCAATATGCTGGGTTTTTTCGAAGTATTATTTTCTCAATTATTGATGATCATAATACTGGCAATCAAATGAATCCAAATGGAAATTTTCTTCCATTCCAAAAAGTATTAGATGGTCTTTCTGTTCGTCCTGTAATAAATATAAGTGTTGGAATGGCCATAGGACCTTATTATATAATAGAATCACAAAATAAAGGTAAATTAGTACGTTTTGATAATGTAAGTATATTAGAATTACCATTATGTGAATATGGTTCAAATTGTCGAAATTTATATGATACTAAACATCGTCGTTCATATAGTCATCCATCATTATGTCCAATAGAATCGGAATGTCCCGACATAGATAATGACGTTCATTTTCAATCATTTACTCATCGTCGAACATGTGATGAAGGTGGTTATTGCCAATCTGTTGATAATCAACAACATATGATTGATTATATTCATCCAAATTTCTGTGTTGAAAGTGGATTATGTACTAATATGAACACATTTCATTTAAAAAAATTTCGACATGTGTCATTATGTCGAGATGGAATAGATTGTCAATTAAATTTAAAAATGATCAAAGAACATCAGTTGAAATATCGCCATTGTCAAAATTCATGTCGATTTAGTGGTAATTGCATTCGTTTTCATGATCAAGATCATATTAAACATGAATCACATCCGTTTAAGACTCCTTGTTCTCAAACCCCATTTTCTTGTGAATTATTTGTTGAATATTTACAATCAAATAATTTACGTCAAGATCTTGAAAATCATTGTCTTCATTATTCTCATGTATGTCCATGGGGTCGTCAATGTATTGATACATCACCAAAACATTTATCAACAACAATACATATTGCACGAGAAATGTGTCCTTATGGCGACACAAATTGTCACTTATTAACAAATGAAGATCATCTGGAATCATTCACACATACTGGTGTGCGAGATATTCGACTTGAATGTCGTTATTCAGCTGCTGATTGTCGAGATTTGAAGAATTCATTGCATACGATTAGATTTCGTCACAATTATCGACAAGATTTTCTTGGTGTTGCACAATATTCTGGCTTAAATGACACAACAGATTTTATATTCAATCAAGACTATATGATTAAAAATTTACAAAAATACTTTGAAAAAAAACACAAAATCAGATGGTCAGATATCTCAATTTCAGATGATTTATTTAATTGGATTCGAGCTCTTTTGCCTGTTCATCGATGTTCGAAATCTATTTTCGAATCTATTCTCGTTCATGGTCATGTCATGAGTCGAGCACATATGGATAAATTACAGGAAGAAAAATTTGTTGCACATACCGCTAATCAACATAACAATGTACGTAAAATTGTTTCAAAACATGTACCTGCTGTACAGGATAATGTTCGTGAATTTATTGATGCACTTGTTGAAATGGAATTTCATAAAAAAAATACTGAAATTAATAAGGTATCAACTAAAGGTAAATCACAAATACAATATCAAATTGATTTAAAAGAACAAATAATACAAGTCGCACTTATTCCTAAAGAAATTGATGAAATTCGTAATTGTGTAATAGAAGTAGTTAAAGCATCATTTATACTTCAATCAAACAAAACAGGCATCGGATTTGAACGTGATGTTGAATTAAAAACAAATCATCATGTATTTGCTATTCTTGGTCCTCACACAGGTCATTATTATGGTGATATTGTTATTGTATTTAAACGTGAGATTATGTTACACCCAGATTCAAATTTTACTATGCAAGCGGCTACAACATATACATCGCCAACACCTGATAAATCACCAAAAGTTTATAAATTTCGCCCATGGCTTCAAGATCTTAGCACAGACGATGAGCGATTAAAGGTGTATCATCAAACAAAACTTCATTGTTCCGTGCGAGGTTATGAAACTATTACTGCATTAGAACTTATGGCTATTACCGGAGGAGAAAAAAGACCAATGAAAGCGGATCTAAAAAATATAATTCAGCGATGGGAAACCGTCGATTCACATCAAATTATTGAAACTCATTTACCACAATTGATTCCTCTTAGTTATGTTGATCATATATATATGCCGAAAAACGTATTTAACTCATTGTCTCTTGTTTCACAACAAAATGCACAGGAAATATTTGGAAAGAAATTAACTGTAACTAAACATGTTGTTAATCTTAATGTTGAATTAATGGCTTTTGCTGCACCCGATCCATCACGTCAAGAATATTACAAGTACGTTATTGAACAACTTCAGCGATTAATAAATGAACAAAAAGAAACAATATATACTGAAGAACCTTTAAAATATTATGGTATAACATTTACTATGCCACCATCCCGTTTTCACACGTATGTTTCTAGTCCAACAACAATTTCGCAATCGAAATATTTATTATCAAAAAGTCAATCAAATTCTGATGATTGTGTTTATATCTATTGGAAAGTTATTGGTGGGGATTTTATGTTAATATTAACTAATGAAAGGATACAAGCTGATAAAGTACAAAAAAATCTTGTTTATCTTACCTGTTACATTGCTTCATTAGCTACTAGTACTGGTACAGAAATTGGGTATGATGAACGTTATACATATATTAGTAATTCACCACCTACAAGTCACGATATTGTTCTGCAGAGAAAACAATTTAAAACTGGTTCAAATACATTTCATAAAGGTTGTAATCCAAATTATTATATTCTTTATTCATTAAAAATCAATCGCAAAACTGGTGAAGTCTCATTAACACATGCTGGTGTTAATGGAATTTATAATCATATAGCTTTAAATTATACATTTAAAAAAGACGAACTTGATGTATCAATACTGAATTACGTTCATATCAGTTCTGGTAATCAAAATATATCTGTTCGAAATCTTCTTATCAGTCATGAACAAATTCCTGAAGCACATCCTAAATTCGACAAAAAATTTGTCAATGATATTAACAATGTAAAAATGGGTGATGTATCAAAAGAACATTCGGAATTTTCATTATTGCATGATTCATCGATAGTAAATAAAGAAGAAAAAAATAATACAAAGACTATTTCACGAACAGGACCATTGAATAAGTTAGGACAATTTGTTCGAAATATGAATCCTTTTGGTTCATCACATATATCTACAGCGGATAAATCTGATCCTCAATATATTCGACAATTATGTAGATATTCGATTAATTGTCTCGATCAATATTCGAAGGAGACATCATTACAACATAATCAAAAATATTTTCATATTTGCCGTTATGCGGAACTATGTAAAAAAATAGATGATAAGTCTCATTCTGAACAATTTTTACATATTAAAACTGGAGCACCAAGATGCATTCATGATGGTAATTGTAAAAAGATCACTGATCCCGTTCATCGATATGCTTATAGACATGCTGATTATCCTTATTTATTGTATCCATGTGAGAGAGGGACGGCATGTAGGGATAAAAAGCCTGATCATAGAATTAAATATTCACATGGTGAACATATTGATATACCGATTAGTGATAGAAATTCATCAGGTATGCTATACTGTTCGATTTTAGTATTACATATTCTTCTATTTTTATTCTATTTTTAGAAAAAATATCATCATATGACAATCATAAATCTCATACTTTGCAACAAACTAGAAAAACTTCAACAGAAGACAAATTATCATCATCACCTAGAATATTAACTACCACAAATGTACGCAGTTCTGATCACACGAATAAACGAACAACAAATGTTAACGGGTCTTACGATTGGATAGCTGATTCAGCTGATGAATCTGATGATGAAGAGTCAATGTTAGATTTCTATAATGCAGATGCTGGTAAAAGTACGATTAATAATGCAGCACAATATGATCAATACGGTAATCCGAAAGGAGCAAATTATGATTTAGGTAAAGATGGAGCTTTCAAAGATTTTAGTATTTTAATTGCCCAATTCTACAAAGATTCTCAATTTAATGAAGCAGCGATTAGAGTACCAATCGATGCGTTAAAAATTAAAGGTTTTCAAGTGAAACATGTTCAATCTGAAAATGAATGTATCACTGAATTACAACTTAATCGTCATCAAATAGCATGGATCATTAGTACGAGTTCTATACAAAATAGTGCATTTACATCAGCTCTAATGAAATATCATTCAGCTGGTGGTGCTATTTTCTTATTTGCTGACAACATTCCTTTCATATGTCATGCATCCGAATTTTTAAAAGCAAAATTTGGTATCACACTCGATGGAAATTATGATGGTTCGAAAACACTTACATTTATGGAAAATGGACATGATAAAGCGGGTCATTATGGTGGACATTTGATTTTTACTGGTATTCAACAACTATTTGAAGGTATTACGATTTGTCATCCAGTTTATCCAACAGCAGAAAGTCGAAAACAATTTATTAACGTCGCCACAGCTACTGATGGTCAGCCGACCATTGGTCTTTATGATCCATCTTCAGGTTCAGTTGAAGGTCGTTTAGCATTGGATTGCGGATTTACTAAATTGTATTGTAATTGGGATTCAGCAGGTACTGCTCGATATATTGTTAATGTCAGCACATGGCTTTTAGCCATTGAAAAACGTATCAAAGGAAAAAAGAAAAAATCGAGAATGTAATCAGTTATTTTTTTGTAACGCAGAAAGCAATAGTTAATGTTTTTTCATAAAATAAATTAATCAAGATATTGAAGTAATACCTTATTGTCTTCTTATGTTGTTTTTTTACATTTTCATATATATGAAATGCAAGGAAATGTCATACTCTATTTACCCAATCCGTCAGCGTTATTATTCTTTTTATTTTACACTTTGTATTTGGTTTCATCCCATATATCGTGAGTTCTCTTATTTTTTATGAATTTACCCCTTATTTTCTCACCTAAGATGTTTCTATCTTATTCACATGTAATATATATGTCGCAGGACAGATTGGAATGTAGTTGAATTCAGAATCGTCCTAGTTCAGATTGGAATTCTAATTTGAACTAGGATTTTTTGAGATTCTAATGCGAACTAGTCATACCGGACTAGTACAGATTAGAATTCTTATGAGAACTAGTTCAGAATGGAACAAATTTTATCTAATATTTCTAACACAAAAAATGAATTTTTTTAGTAATGGAAAAAATAACGAAAATTTCACACATGACTAACAGTTTTTGCATTTTTCACCATTGCCATTATGGCATTTTGAACAGCATTTTATCTTCTTTCGTTTGCATTGACATCGATTTGTGCTGCAATCACCAGCACATTTACATGTATCACTATTTTTGAAATTTGTGTAAAGTTGACATGCTTGTATAAATGTAATAGAAGGTAAAGATTCAGTGTTCATATCACGCAATGATGCAAAATTAGACGTGGTCAAATCAAGGAACATGGAAGATTGGAAGCATTCTTTCATAATACCATTTTTACTAGCTACTGTATATAATGTTTCTCCAGTTTGATCACTTGAACGAACAATCTTGCACGGTAATATTGTCGATGAAGTATGAGTACGATCAACATCGGAAACTTTCAACCCCACAATGTCATCAATATTATATATTCGTTTTCTTTTATTAAGGGCTTCAATATATGCATTTACTTTTGAATAGAATGCCTCTTCCATTTAAAGTTTATCGGTATGATTTATGCAATTCAGCTATTTTACATAATTATATATAATACGAATCTATCCTCCAAAATTGATCTTCCGTTTATATCTGCATAGCAGTCTTACAGGCATGCATTCCATTCTGAACTAGTTCTCATAAGAATTCTAATCTGTACTAGTCCGGTATGACTAGTTCGCATTAGAATCTCAAAAAATCCTAGTTCAAATTAGAATTCCAAACTGAACTAGTTCGCAATAAGATCATTCTATATCGTACTAGTAAGAATTAGGATCCCAAAATGTCCTAGTTCAAATTAGAATTCCAATCTGAACTAGGACGATTCTGAATTCAACTACATTCCAATCTGTCCTGCGACATATATATACGACCAATAAAAATCGTCCGGTTTTCAACGAACTTTTTTAAATATGGATTATAAATAGGGAAAACTAAAACTAATTATGTTTTCTTTCAGCATCAATTTTAGGATAAGAAATATTTTCGAAATTTCCATTTATATTCGAACTCGAATCGGGCAGTT